TTTCATGTGGAAGAAACAAACTCAGGGACTTTGATTTCCTCCTAAGGGAGAACATAGAAGCAAGAAAAAGAATGGAAACAAGAAGCATGACAGTCCCTCCTCAACAAACTCTAGGTACTAATCTGGGACAGGTACAGGATGGACATCCCAGCTTCTGGGACAAATATAAGCTTCTATCAGAAAGACAGGCAACACCGAGCACATTCACTTTTGGGAAACATTCCTTCCTGCTGTTTCATAGGCTGTGCCTAAATGACTTGTAAGAGTTAAATAGAGATGAAATCTTTGGGGTCCAAAAACATCTTCTCCTCCACAAGCTCCTTTGAGTGGCCAGGTTGAAGTTACCTTGACTGCCAAAAGCCCTTTGCCATGGGTGTTTTGCTAAACAGAAACTGTGACTCTCCTCTTGGGTTTAACATCTCATGTACATCCTTTGCAGTCAACCAGTCTTTGAAGGATAGTGAACTGGTGCAGCCATATTCAGAGAGCACCCAGACTGATGACAGCTCTCCGGGCCCAGCAGTTTCCTTAGTGCTTCCCATCATCTATACCGTCATCTGTGCCTCGGGTGTCCTGGCCAATGGGCTGGGTGATCTCCGTGGTCCTGGGCTGCAAACAGAATCGGATGTATCGGATATCTACATTCTGAACTTGGCCACCGCTGATCTGCTCTTCCTGCTTGGCATGTCTCTCATCATCCATCAGCTTCTTCAGGAGCGAGGCTGGGTATTTGGAGACTTTCTGTGTTGGGCTGCAACTACTATTGATCTCAGTAACCAGTTCAGCAGTGTGGCTATCATCACTCTGCTCTGCACAGACAGGTATAAGGGCTAATCTAGGTTGGAAGGAAGACGACGGGGTGGGTGAGGCTAAACCCTTTTTCCTGGTTCTATGTCACTTTTTGCAGTGCTGTTATAACTTTGCTCACTAAACAAAAGGTTGTAAGTTGAGGACTGCCTGTAACCCAGAAGCCTCTTGCCACCAACTACAGATAGTCCTTGACTTATAACTACAATTGAGACCAGAATTTCTGTTGCTAAGCAAGGTGGTTGTTAAGTGAGTCACAATTGATTTTACAACTTTTTGCATAGTTGTTAAGTGAATCATGCAGTTGTTAAAGGAATCCAGCTTCCCACATTGACTTTGCTTGTTGGAAGCAGGTCACAAATGGCAATCACATGTCTCAGGGATGCTACAACCATCATAAATACATGCCAATAGCCAAGTGCCTGAATTTTGATCATGTGACATGAGAATGCTACAATAGTCATAAGGAAATGGTTGTAAATCACTTTTGCAGTGCTGTTGTAGCTTTGAATGGTCACTAAACAAATAGTTATACTTTGAGGACTCCCTGTATATCTTGGATCAGGTCCTTCCAGAAGGTCAGTCTTGCACAGCATTAGCTAACCTTTCTTTGCATTTTGGCAGCAACCAAGTGGAGGAGACAGGAAATATTCTTGCTGGTCAGAAGAAGAGAGTTAGGGAATGCTGGCATGTCTTACCAACAACGTAAATCACATTTTTACAAGCTTGTGGTTCTTGAAGTGTTTTAGCACCCTCAATATGATACGTTTTGGGGAGGAGGGCTGACGAGAAAGTTTCTGGCATTTGCAAAGGAGCAAGGGGCTCAGAGGAAGGAGGGAAAGATGCAGGGAGGTGGAGGCTGCTAGGTGAGACCATCAGCTCATTCATCAGCGTGGACTATTACCAGCTTTCCAGGGTTTTATAGAAACATTTTTCCCAGCTTTATTTGAAAATGTCAGGGATTGAATCTGGAATCCAAGCAGGCCTATAGACCAGTTTCTCAACCCATGCACTGTCTTCCATCTCTAACACTGGTCTTATTAACTGCCCTGTAGAAAATGTGTGTGGGCATGCAGGTAATCACAAAGGATGAGTTTTCTTATTCAATCTATATGTTTTTAGTATATATTTAGTCATGTTTTCTATAAGTGATGAGCCTTCATGTCTCTTCCCCAGATATGTAGCAATGGTATACTCATCTACCATTGCCCAGAGGCAGACCTTGCATTGTACAGCCATGATCAGTGTTGGCATATGGATTGGAAGCTTGATTCTGGCTACTCCCACTATGCTGTACACCTGGATATTTTGGGACAATAAGACGGAGATCTGCCTTATAGACTTGCCAGGTTCCAGTAGTGTATACTGGTACACGTTCTACCAATCCTTAATAGCATTCCTCCTGCCTTTGCTGGTCATTACGGTGTTGTATTCTTTGACTCTGCAGCATCTATTCCGTGCCATGCACCGTGCGAATTGGAAGGCATCCTCCCGGAGCCAAAAGGTGACTCGCATGGCGCTCACAATCATTGCGGCCTTCTTCATCTGCTGGACACCCTATCATGTACTGCAGCTGGTTAATCTGACAGCCACTCCTTCAGCAACTTGTACTCCTTCAGCAACTTGTACTTCTTCTACTTGTACCAAGCTGCTATTTGTCTCAGCTATGCCCACAGTTGCGTCAGCCCCATTCTTGTTATTTTCTGCACTGGGTTTTTCCAGGAAAAGATGGCCCAGTCCAGGTGGGGACAAAGAACCGGAGGTGTCCTGGTGGGAGAGCACAGCTCACTAGAGGGTCTCCAGGTCATGATAATCTTCCCTCCAGTAATGAGGGATTACAGCTATCGCAATATTTCTCCCCAGATCATCCCTTCCTATGCTGGGAGTTATAGGTGCCAAAATCCAATGCATCTGGAAGGTGCATGTTGACTGTTCTTTCTAGGTTGATTTATGCATTGTGGAAAACTTTCAGAATACCAATAGCAATAGCACTTAGACTTCTTGTGCTGCATGGTGCTTTAAAGCCCTCTCTAAACAGTTTACAGAGTCAGTATACTGTCCCCAACAATCTGGGTCCTCATTTTGCCAACCCTCAGAAGGATGGAAAGCTGAGTCAACCTTGAGCCCATGAGAATTGAACTGCCAAACTGCTGGCAGTCAGCAGTCAGCAGAAGTAGCCTGAAGTACTGCATTCTAATCACTGTGCCACCACATCTCTTATAAATAAATGTGATAAGTTTATATCTTCTCTTTTTTCATAGGTACTGCAAGTGTCTCACCAGGTGGATAACAATACGGGAACATCTTTCTTTTACTGCAGAAATCACAGCTACCATGTATAGGAGCTATACACAAGGGAGCCAATCTGTATCTCTGTGCAACATCATCACTTTGGGATAGAAATACCTTTAAGTTCCATGAATGAGACTTCCAGCTGCAGTATGGCTGTCAGTGGGCATGGAGAATGTAATGGGTCTTAAGATTGCCCTGTATGATTATTGCTTAGTTGGTTGTAAACTGGGGGTATTTTCCTGAAAAAATGATGCTTTTCATATGGTCTTCATATATGAACACATAATGAAGAAAGTTGCTGTTGTGATGAGGAATCATATGAAGAAAAAGCAAAATGGACCATTGGATCCTTGAATTCAAAAAGTGGAGGGGCACTTTGATATAATGAACTCCAATAATTGTATCCTATCAATGTGTTGACTGTCCACTCATGGAACCTATAACACTCCAACACTTCTTTGTAACATGTTCTTCCAAAGTGATTTCCTTGGTCTAAGACTCTTAATGGCTTTTCTGAGAAACTTTCCAGGCAACCAATTCTTCCATGTCTTGCTGAATATGTGTTTTCAAGCTGAAATATCAGTTTTTACTTGTTACCTGAAGAAATAGGCTACTTACAGTTTGCAGTAATAAATTAGTTTCTATAGTTTCGGTACATACCAGGCCTCTAGGCCTCACGTAGGCTGAAAGCGTACCAGGAACAGAGATCACCAATCAACAAACACGTCATCATGGGCGGATAACTGTAATGCAGGCGCTGATTTGTTACCTTGCACCTTTCACACTACCATGCACTGTAATTGGATGTTACTATGTGTGCACTAATATTCCTTCTCATGTAACTTAATGATTGGATAGAATTCACTGCTTGTGACGTATCACTGTGTGTTTTTTAATAAAAGAGCTTCCCGAACTTGTGATCGGGGCAGCTCATCCAAGATAGAACCTGCGTTGGTGTCTTTCTTGATGCATTCGACCACCCAGTGGGCAGCCTTCCAAATGCGGAGCAAAGCCGCAACAGTTGCAAAGAACTTTTCTGTCTGACTTGTGAAACAGAAACAGACCATTCCAACGACTAATCAACAAGAGAGCCAATCAGCTCAGAATTTAAACATAGCTCCAAACGTATAACCAATCACACGACCAACTGACACACAAGCCATTTATAAGCTAAGGAGAATAGGACAAGAAAATCCTGTTCTTACCTAGTCTGGTAAAGAAATGTTCAGAAACTAAATTGAAACAAGCTCGGAGAACAAACCACTGCCAAAATCTAAAACCTGAGGTACAAGTATTTTCAATTATTTCAAAAAAAAATTTGTTTCTGGGGTTGCATCCTCCTGGAAAAGGATGCAACTTTGGAAAAAGCCACACGTCTGAGCAATGGACCTGGAACCCTTGCCCTTACTCAGATCCCTATTGCTGCCCAGCTCTCCTTTGAATCACTTTTTGCTCTTCCATGCCTCTACTTTTCACTTTGCAATTAATAAAGGATAATATTTGTAGCTCAATGTTGAAATGAGAGCTCCTTGGTGCCCTCTGAGTGTGGTTATTATTATTATTTTGCAGACGTTTCATTATCAAACTAGGTAACATCATCAGTCCTCAGCATTTATCTTTACCTAGTTCTGATAATGAAACGCCCACAAGCAAACCACCAAGCTCAGACAGCACCAAATAAGCCCGTTCTGGAAACGACGCGTGGGAAGATGGGGGAGGGGGAAACAGCCCAAGGAGCCCCTTTTTTGATGTGGGTGTGAATGCCTAAAAGCGTTTCCTTCTAAAGCTCACGCAACACGCACAGAGGCGCAGAGGAAAACTTTTTAACAGGAACGGTAGTACGCGCGCTCAACCGGAAGTTGCGCGGGGAAACGGTCGGGAACAGAACCGGAAGGGGCGCATCGGTCACGTGATTGCGTTGCCCTTAGGGTTAGGGTTGCCCTGACAGCGGAATAGCCTTCGCGGGTTCGCTCGGGCAAGGCGGCGGGGGGCTGGTCAGGGCAGCTGCAGCTCTCGCCTCTTTCCCGGGAAAGGCGAGTCGGGCCTCCGCGTCCGGACGCGCTTGGTCCCCGCCGGCCTCATGGAGCGCTCCGGGGCCATGACGGACATGTATGACCAGGCGTTGCTGGGGATTTTGCAGCATGTGGGCAACGTCCAGGAGTTCCTGAACATCCTCTTTGGCTTCCTCTACCGTAAGACCGACTTCTACCGTCTGTTGATGCAGCCCTCGGACCGGCTGGGCTTCCCGCCCGGCGTGGCCAAGAGCATGGTAGTTCGGGTAAGCCTGGTTGGGTCCCTCTCATCCCTCCCCGCCGGCCGCTTCTCCTTTGGAAGCCCGAATTTTGTCCTAAATTGCCCGGGTGCTTTAGGCACAGCTCTTTCGGCAGCCTCTCAAGTCAAACCCCCAGAATGGCTCCGTTGAAGTAGACCAGGCAGAAATGGGAGCGGAAATGGGAAAATAACTTAGTGTTTCAAACAGGTTGTGGGAACCAGGCTGTTAAACCGTGAAATGATTGGTTGGTTTGGATTGGGCACTCGGTGTGAAGGCAGTCATGGTGTTTTGTTGACCGAGATTCAGAAGTTGTGGGTGCTCCGACACTGGAAACTTTTAAAGAAGAGATTGGACAACCTTTGTTTGAAATGGAATAAAGTCTCTTCCAGCAAAGGGGGTTGGACTGGAAGACTTCCAAGGTCCTTTCCAACTCTATTATTCTTTATTCAGGTTGGAGCATACGATTTTACCTATCTTTAATGGTGTTAGCTACCCCGAGTCTTGTATTTCAGATCGGCGGCTATATAAATCTAATATATAAATGTGTGGCCTGGCTAATAACTACTGCTGGGTTCATAAAGCGTGCTACATAAAAATGGATTGTACTGTACAATATAGGGCAAACTGAGGCAGTTAAGACTTAAGGATGCACAGAGCATGGCTTGGGAGAGTGTACATAGAAAAAACTGGCTATCAGCATGATTTATGCTGAATACAACAAATGTTTGGATCCAAGTATGTTTATGAAATAGCAGTATCAAGTTATGAGTAAGAAGAGATTCTTCAGCTATGGGTGAAGAATGAAACCAAATATAGTTAAAATGTGGCTAATTTGGTGTTTGGGGAGTGCAGTTATTTTTATTTAGTTTGATGCCTGAAAGGCAGTGGCAGACCTTCATTAACCTCTTGTTCTGCATTTTTCTTTAAATCCAAATAAGAACACACTCAATTTTCTTTATCCATAATGGACTTTGCCCCTCTTTTACATTCACTATAAAATCCACTGAATCAGGGCTGTCAAACTTGCAGGCTGGATGCATCACGTGCTGGCCACGCCTGGTTTAGCGAAGGAGGGAAAAGTCGCAATACATCACGTGACACAGCCGTGACGCTGCAAGTTTGACACCCCTGCACTGGATTCACTGCTTATGGCTATCAGGAAAGTAGATAAATACTTGTTCTTGGAGCTGATCTGACACACAGAGCAATACTGTTATCTCCTTGAAATTGAAATGCAGTGTTAGCTAATCTCTAGTGATGGTCTGTAGGTTAATTATTGGGTTGTTTGATTGCTGCATCACTTTCAGGCATTCAAAACCTTTGAACATCTGGCCCACCAAGATGATGAGAAAAGACAGCAAGAAATTGAGGTGAAGTTGAAGAAAAAAGAAGCCGACATGGTGGCTGCAGGAGAGAGACCAAAGGTGCCTCCTGCCGTTGCGGAGGTTGAAATCGCCACAGCAGTAGAGCAGGACTCTGGATTGGAAAGTGGAAAGACTGCAGATGCAGAGGAGCCTGTAAAAGCAGAAGAAACCATAGAAGCACAAATTGTTGATACAACAGCAGAACTGCCAGTATCTGTCGCTGCCCCTGTAGAAAGTGAACAAACAGAATTTCCCAGGTGAGTGGCTCTAGTGGTGCTTGGACCACGTCAAAGTGTTAGTGACGAAGTGCAGCCACTGTGACCTAGTAAACTTGGGATAGGTTTGCCTTTGCTAAAGAGGGAAACACATATTGGTGAACAAGCCATGGTCTTCCAGCTTTAAGGGACTGATTATGTACCATTGTGGTAATTGTATATTAAAATGCGCAGTACTTCCTACCTTTGGGTTTTTCTGACTGTGGCTTTTGTGGGAACTCTAGTAATGGAGCTTAATCTATGCAGTAGCAGTCTCTGGATGGCAAAAACAAATGGCAGCAGGCAAAATCTTGGAAATCTGCCTTTTATCTATAGTAGTCAGGCTCTGTTCACCTAATCCAGAATAATTTATTCTAATTTGGCAAGGCTTTCCTTCAAATCCATTTAATTTGTGTTTTGTGCTCCAATTTTTAAAGTTGTGCTTTAACATCTATCCTTAGCTTCTGAGATACCCTAAATGTGTTGGGTTTTCATTTTTACAAATACATAATGATGAAATTGGAAACCTGTTATACACATTTAAAGGCAATGTATAAGAGATATGTCAGTAATAATATAGGTGGTTACAGCATTGAGAAGCCAAAATGTGACAAATATGCTTGCCTGGTAATGGCTTAAAATTGCTGTTCTAATCATATATTTATTCAATTTATATTGCCGCCGACTCACCCATGGCGACTCAAGGCGGCTTACAGAATATAAAACCACATTTAAAACAATAAAAACTAACAAAAAGAATCAAATAAATTAATATAGTACAATATAACAAAATCACTTCCCAACTTCTATCACCTGCCCCGGCGACAGCAGATCACACAAGCCATTTAATTGGCTCAATCCTGCTCTGTGTTCCCCAGGCCCGTTGGCAGAACCAGGTCTTCAGTGCCTTCCGGAAGAGTATTACAGTGGAGGCCGTTCTAATCTCGGGGGGAATGATGTTCCAGAGAGAGGGAGCCACCATGGAGAAGGCCCTTCTTCTGGGTCCCACCAGGTGTATCTCCCTCAGGGATGGGACCCGCAACATTCCCTGCCTCCTCTCTTTGATGGGTCGGGTAGATGTAACCGGCAAGAGATGGTCCCTCAGATAACCTGGTCCCAAGCCATGAAAGGCTTTAAAGGTGACAACCAGCACCTTGAATTGCACCCGGAAGCAAATCGGCAACCAATGGGAGCACAGGAGAGGTGACACAGTGCACATTGAGGTCTGCACAAAACTATGTGGTCCGCTGCATTTTGCACAAGATGGGAAGTGACTAGGGCATGAGTGACTGAGTAGGGACCGCTGATCCAGGAAAGGACATAACTGGTACCCAACCCGCAGTTGGGCAAAGCCCCCCCCCCCCCCCCCCGGGCACAACCGCCACCTGCTTTTCGAGCAGGAGTTGTGAGTCCAGGAAACCCGTAGATTACAATACGGTCTCTTTGGGGTAGTGCCATCCCATCCAAGACCAAAGGTGGCAATTCTCCCTGAGCCAACAAACCCCAAACCCAGAGCCACTCAGTCTTGCAAGGGTTTAGTTTCAACCTGTTGCTCCCCATCTAGCCCCTATCAGCCTCCAGGCACTGCGAGAGGGAGGACACAGCAACACTTAACTCACCACGGGCCGAGACATACAGCTGAGTATCATCAGCATATTGGTGATACCTCAGTCCATGGTGACGGATTATCTCACCTAGCGGCTTCATATAAATGTTGAACAGGAGCGGAGAGAGTACCGAGTCCTGCAAACCCCGTAAAGCAGTGGGCCGAGGGCTGGATCTCTCCTCCTATTAACACTAACTGAGACCGGCCGCAGAGGAAGGAAGGACATATATATATAATAAAGTTAGCCTCTCTGAAAATTAGCAAGTGTTGTAAGTATTGAAATGTATCATGTGGTGATTTAGTATCTAAGTAACTATTCCACAATTCATGGAGCTGACAACTATTTTAGACATGTCTTAAGGCACCTGAATCTCTGTCACTTTGTTTTCCTTGGCCTGCAGGATTTCGGGGCACTATTAAGAAGGAAGTAGATACCATCTACAGTGTTTATTGATACAATACACCCCATTATGTGGCTGAGATTTTATGGTGCACAAATCTCAAATCTTGTACTCGGAGCAAAAGTCTTGGCAAGACCAAGTAACTATTTTACTACAAAATTGTTGCTTACATCCAGTTTGTTCAACCTCTTAATGTAATCTAAGGTTTAATGATAATTTGGCTCTTCTCATGATTTTTAAAAATTAATAAAATGTATACTGGTAATACTACATTAATGAAATTAATTGAAGTAAATTGGTGTCTGGAACAATTCCTTGAATATGCACTCTCACTTTATATGGATAAGTAATATCAAATAATATAATATCAAGTAATATAATATAATAGCAAATTATAGCAAGTAATATCAGATTGACTTTTTTAAAAATCCAAGTTTCAAATAGGCGGTAGTATAGTTTACATTGTGATGTCACTTTATAATTGTCTTCCTATCATCACTTTATTGGACACATATAAATTTGTTCTGAAGTGGTCTGCAGATTTCTTAGAATATGGGTATTTTAAACAGCCATTTCCCCAATTAGGTTTGAAAACACAACTAACCAAAAGCCTGTTTACCTGAAATTCCATTCTTTAGCATCCAAGCACTATTCTAGTAATGTTTAAAAAGGTTATATGATTGTAATATTGGACTAGGTATGGTGAGATCAAGATTTGTTAATTCACCCTTACCCTGGCAGCTCACTCTGTGATTTTGAGTTGGTCACTTTCTCTGAACACAGACTACCAGAGAAGGTGGTTGCTTCAAGAAAAGATTGGAGAAAAGAGCCACTTGAAATGAATAAATACTGTATATAGGTAAAACAGCTCTTGAAATGACATGGAAGTCAAAATGGTCTTTGAAATGTCTGTAAAACTGTAAAGAAGAGATGTTGCTATAGGAACTGGTTTTCTAATCAGAGAGAGTGGGGCATTTTTGATCTGGAACCATGCTGACCTTTAATTTAGTTGTCAACAGCAGAACCAACGAGATTGCTTCCAAATTTTGATTTGGCTATTTGCCTCAACCTGAAAAACATAGTTTGGAATACATGGTGGCTTTACAATCTGTTTTTCAAGACTGTTGTAAAAGATACTGCTAGCTATACGTTGAACACAAAGTTGTGCTGGATGAACAGTAGGTGCTCATTTTGGCAAGCAAGATGGTATTGGTGAAAGTGTGGCTTCAGTTTCACTTATTGGCTTGCTTATCTGATTTCTTTATGTTTTGGGGAATAGATATGCCAAACAATATAAATCTGTCTATTGAGTTGTTGTATATTTGAATCAAGTTTATAAATGAACAGTACAGATTTCATGAAAAGTTAGGCTAGTGTGTGATTATCTGTTGCCAAAGCACTCATGGTCAGGATTTTTTGATGACTACACACAAATAATCTTTGCTGCATACGTTTCAGAATTATAGTAACTTTTCAATGCCTCCACTTGGTGATATCAGTGTCCACTTAATGCATCTTCAAAGGCATATTAAAGTACTGTTCTCTTTGAATTCTTCTAAGGTCTCTAGACATTCAGTCTAAAAGCTTGGCTGATAAGATGCTATGAATAATGAATTTTTTGGACACAGATTGATGGAAATTGAGATATAGTGTGATCTCCATCTGTGTAGCTGAAAGTAGTAAGTCTCGGCGATGAAAAACAGGAAATAGTTAATAAATGAAGGATGGAATCTTGCCTCTTCCGATGTTGTTGTTCTCACTTTGGAAGCATTAAACAAAATTACTCATTATTTCTATATGTCAAGTTCTAGTCCAAATCAAGTCTATATTAAGTGAAAAATTATGCATGATTACTTTAAAGCAAATGCAATTAAGCTGGGAGGTACATGGACATCAAGTTCAGAAGTGTTTACATTTTGCCTTTTTCAGTATTTGAGATACAAACATTTATCTTTTTAGATTAACCCCAATATATGATATTTTGCAATAAAGTAAAACTTGATGATTTTCTACCTTTCTACTGGAGATGAGAAATGTATGGATAATTTTCCCAAATATTTTATGACCTTAAGAAGGGCAATCTATATTTGTGAAATATTCCACCCTTCAAAATAACTGAAAACATTGTATTCTGATGAGTGGGAATGGGCAGGATGGCAAAGGCTGCGCTCATCAAGTGTGGGCTTGACATGCAAAAGCCCAGCACATATTGCAAATCCTGGAGCGATGCTGCACGTCAGTCTAAACTGTACTCAGCAATATGGATCCAATGGTCCAACTTGGTAGCTTTTCAAGGAGAGTATTTGTAGCTCAGGACTGAAATGTGGGGGTCCTTGGTGCTCTCTGAGTTTGGTTGCTTTCTTGAAGACATTTCACTACCCAAACTAAGCAACATCACCAGTGCATTGAGTAATGAACTGTCTGCAAGAAAACAGTCAAGCTCAGGGAGCACCAAGGATCTCCTCTTTGGTAGCTTTTGAAAACTAAATACTGTTTTTCTCTTTCTGGTTCAGCTACGGATAGCTAGCTCCAACTCTGAAGGGAGCTTGGCTTTTCATTCTATTTATCCTTCCAACACTATATGCTAACTTTGGTAGATGCACTCTTTAATACGGAATCAATAAGATTCTTTCTACTCTTTCTGCTTCTCATACTATAATGTAATCCTTGAGCATGTCAGTTAAATAATGCTGAGGGTTATGGAATCCAATGTGACAATAGATAAATGTCAGTTGCTGAGCCCTATTAATTTGGTTTAATCCTCTGCACCATCCTTCATGGCAACAGACAAGTCCGTTGTCCCCACGTCTCCAAGTTCTGAACAATGAGAGGGAAGAGTTGTCTATGTCATTGCCATCTGGTTTGCGCAGAGCTGTTCTTTACACCCTTTCTTCTGGGCTCAGATATTTCCATCTGTTTTGACAAGTAGTTCTCTTCATTCTCTATGTCTGAGCTCATCTGCTTTTTATTTTGAGTGCCCGCCTTCTCACTTAGCC